TGCGCGCATGCTGTCTTGAACTTTCTAATTATAAAACTTGTGTTTATAAACTTGAAATAGTTCTTGTCTTGATATTTGTCTAACTATAATAAAATAATGCATGAAATGTGTGAAAAATGTAAAAAGTAAGTGAAGAAATGAAAATAATGACTGAAATGTATTAATAAATATACAATTTTTAATATATATGTATCATTGAAAAAATATAAAAAAAACTTAAAAAGCGTATAAAGACTATGCTATAAATTAAAATTTTTTTGTTGTGTTAGCACATTTTGTTAATTAATCATTACATGATTTCAAGCGAGATATATAGCAAAGAGCTATTTATATATTATTCACGAGAATTCTACCTGTATGTTAGTCTGTACATATATTTATTAAGAAATATCTTGAAATGCGTTCATGATAGATCGCTCTTTCGCTCTCCTGTTTCTCAGAAATATTTATCTCATGCGATCTTAATTAATATTTCCAATTTAAGATCGGTACGCGAACATGTTGTCATGGCAAACAAGTCGATCTTAAATGTCATAAAACTTGTAGCTTACGACAAATGTTTTATTTGATCTTGAAAATTAATTACATTTTGTTCCCCTACGGGACAAGGATGTTCTGCCTTGCGACATATCATATCTAGGGAATGATTCAGACCATATTTACATCGAGTCGATGAATCTCTAACTAATGTCAGGCACAAATAATAAAGATGATTAAATTGTAACGTAGAGATTATAAAAATATGGGTCATGACGCCATTGGATTAATGCAATAAAGTTAAGAATTTAATTTGAATTCCAATAAATCGCTAATTTCTTACGTTCTCCAACTTTTCGTTCGGCAGCGTGCCGGTAAATGGCTCTTCGATGAAAATATTTAGCTTTGACGTTAAAGGATCTGCGCGTAAACATTTAGTAATAGGGTATACATAAATACTTTAAGAAAGGAGTGAGTTGAAAAGGGAGCGTACATATTTACATTAGACGATATCTCGGCGGGATTCCCATCGAAAGAGAATGCTTTTGTGAATGCGACGGTATATCCCGCCGTCGCGTTGACAGTTATGAATGGCCCGGTATTGTAAAGCCGGAGAAATTTCACTTGCTCTCGGTCCTGCGTCCCTTTCTCCGCGATGCCACGCAATGGAATCCGGTGAATATTTCTTTTATCGGAAATACGACTGATTCTGGCGTTTATCTCATCTCGCACGTTCTATGATATTCCAAAATTTTGCTTTTTAATATTCCTATGCATTTTTCTAATATTTATTGAATTATCAAAATCCATTATATGAGCTATTTCATAATTTGAAAAATTACCATAAAAAAACCTTTTTGTTCTTAAAAATAATTTTTCATTATTTCGTGTAAATCTGATTTATCAAATATATATCTCGCAAATATATTTAAATAAAAAACCTTATTTATTAATTACAAAATTATGAAGATTGCTGGACAAATAAAAATGATAAAAACTTCTTTTAAAAGAATTTAGAAGAATTTACTATTTAATAAAAAGAGCTAAATGAGATATTACATTCCCTTTTTGTCATCGCAACTTACAATTAGTGACGAAATTCCATTTCATCTTGCAAGAAATTCTGCAGATTTCAATCTGAAAAGTGTACTTGCCCATAAGAAGTAGATATTTCGTTCAACACGAAAATACTAAGACTAAAAATACAAGTTGCCACAAATTGTAGCATCATTGATTGAACAAAATTGTTATCATGTCTTATATTCATTAAAATTCAGAGACATAAAAATAATTATTGCCTCTTAAAACATAGATTTATATATGTAACATCCCCGCGAGATGACAAGATGCGTTACCGTTGTCAAGCACAACCCTCGTAATTATCCAATTAACGTACACATAGAGACACGCATTTTCACCTGTATACACGCTAGAATCTTGCAAAGCTCGAGAACAGGAAAGATGTCCCAATTAACGTAGATCCAATTAGCGTAAAAAAGTCCGTACATCCAGATACGGATGATAATTTATTTAGACTTGACGCGGTTGCTTTTGCGCATGAAGGCAGATTACATAATTTCGCGAATGAATACAGCTTGCATGATTTCGCAAACGTGCTTGCCTTTTTTTACTGCCAGAAGTTATTTGCCAGAACTTATTTGTGTTATGTATTTGTATGTGAAAATCTTTTTTCTCTATGAAAATATATAAATATAATTTTTGTCTTTATATATCACTTCGTATATAGAATAAATTTTGATTTTAAATTTTTATTTGTTTAAATAAAACATGAGTAATATAACGAGCTAAACTTATTTTAATTCTTTAGTTGCATAATTAAATATTTTTCTGATTCTCATCAAATTGAATTAATCCTGTGAATATGTAAAATTTTTATTTATGATCGACCGATTAATAAATTTGGCTAGTGAACGATTGTTGTACTTGGGAACAAATTTCTTTGAAGCTGTGAATTAAATCTGATTTTTGCATTTAACGATAATAAAAGATGAAATGATACACACAAAAGATAGAAAATAGTAGGAATATCGTTCCACTTGCTTTTTATAAAAAATATTCCGTATATTTTATATTATTTTCGCAAAACAAATTTCATCGTACAAATATCACAGTGCAATGCAACTATTGAATGACAGACGGATTCTACCACAAAAATTCTATTTTATTTGAAAGTGGTTGTTAAAAAAGCAAAGAATCGCCGAGTTTTATTGCGCACATGTGCTTTTCAACGAGCTTGCTTCACTGCGCTCGAAATCAAATCAACTGGTTAATTAATGAAGTGAAATATCGGGAAGCGTTCTCGATATACGTCGAAACTAAATAACTCGCACGGATGTTACTTGTCCGTAATTGGTTAATAAATTTATTTGGTAGCGCGTGAGATCCTTGCTTTTCAAAACACGATTGCTTACTCGTTAATGCGATCGCGTTATCTAATTTTCAATTTGCTTTGCAGAGTCGAGCCGCAGATTAAGTTGATCTTTAAGAAATATACATGATAAACATCATTTTGCACGTAACACATGTTTTAAATTTTAATGTGATATGAAAAATAGAATTTTCATATTTGTCATTCATATTTTTATTTCCAAACTTGGTATCTAAATATGAAAATTTTTCAAACAATTGGCTTTGATGTGAGCCCTGTGTTATAATTATGAACTTTTTCAATATTTTTTATAACCATTCCTAAAAAGTACATTTGGAAAACGATAGAAATATGAGCTAAAATAAAATATATTTGCTTTTTAATCGACTATGAAATAAAGTAACCGTTCATAAAAAAAGTTAAAACAAAAGAGAGTAGAAAAAAAATATAAAGTAAATTATTATTTCCGTCAAAGGCATCTTAAACACACGACTCTTTTCACGACTTACATTCCATTTTATTCTGCTTTCTCTAACACAGACTAATAGAAAATCGTAATGGATAATAGAAGAAATGTTTATTCTGCATCAGATTTCATTTGAAAGTGAAATCCGCGTGTGAAAAAAATACGTGAGTGTCGAAAAATATGCCAGGCATTGGTCGCGAAATAGTACGCATCATAAAAAATTGCGTCGTTAAGTGTCTAACTTTTATAAGATCACATCCATACTTCTTCCATATAGTTCGATAAAATATATATTATATTTGCTTACTTGTAAATACTGCTAGACCGAAAAAAACAATAATATAGATGTGAATACCTTGCAGTGAAGTATCTTCCGTTATCGTATAATCTTAGTGTGCTGTTTACGTCACACATCACAGGCCGTTGCTATGCGTTGTTGATCGTCCTGAAGTAGGGGGG